GAAGAAAAATATAGAGGTCTAAAAGAACTTCAATAGTATATGCCTTGATGTTATGATTTTCATCTAAGTCAGTGTAGGATTCAATTGAAGTATCTTCTCTTGGTTTGTCTATCTAAGCATCTTTTTATCAAGATAACAAAGTGAATCTATTTTAATAAGAAGTTGCATTTCTCTTGCAATATAAAATTAAGATTTTTCATAAAATCAATCGTTGTCTTCAAGTTGCACTCTTGATCCAAGTATCTTTTTTGTATAAATACAAGATAAAAAAAACATTATATATTCATGATATTCAATATTAATGGACAAATTATTGCTATCTTTCTTAGAAGAAAATTAGCAAAGAAATCCCTTTCATAGCCAATAGTCTGTAAGTGCATATTTATGGTGTATTGTTACTCTTTCATTCTACTCCTTAATGGGAGAATTTTTGCCACTGAAGTTCTTATATCTTATAAGCTTTCTTCTAAGACCTTATTTTTAGTTGACAATTTGTGGTGTGTTTATTGTTGTACTTACCACAAATAACAATGTTAGTTATTATTTCAGCAAGTATAGCCATTTATTACTCAATTATGTCTTGATATGAATAATCCAATATATATTGGCTTTGGCATGGTGGTTCCATGTTGATAACAATAACATATATATATATATATATATATATATTTACTTTTAGTTGAATCATTGACTTTGCACTTTGCTTGCATTAGTCACAAACATATCATAATTCTTTATAGACTTCAAATAATGATTTACATTGCAATGATGTATTTGATTTTTGATATTACATAAGGTAATATCTAATGTAAGCAATGAAAAATGGATTGATAGAATTTCTTGCATTTGAGTTGCAACAAAGGTGGAAATTTTTTACTTAAAGATGTTTGTTGACAATCAATTCTTCGTGGATGTTTTTGTTGTTAAGTCAACTAATAGATGGTCTTTAATTAAACTAATAGGTATTTATTACCTATTTGAAATATGTCATGCATAATTGAAACATTCCAACTTTATAAAAAAAAAATTGTACATTCAAATAAGGATACTTATAGGCTAATTTGTTCCATGCAACAACTACTTTGAACTTCTATCCAAAGAAATGGTGTAAGTAACAAGGTATATATTTTATCTTAATTTTTTTAATAATATTCATATGATATTTATTATTGTTTGTTATTTGTGTAATTATATTTATAGAGTTGTGCTAATTGATGCATATATGGTTCTTGAAATAATCATAGTACTTAAAAACATTTGTGGCATTTGTCCATGTGTAGTGAATTATCACCTTTCATCCAAAAAATGCATCATAAACATAGAAACAATATTGCATTTTTGAATTCAATGGCCTAGTTTTAAAGTTGCATTACAAAATCACATGCCATAGAAAAAAAAAAGGAGATAGGAAGACAAAAGATCTTAGAGAAGATAATAACATTGAAGATGCAAATAATGTAGAAGTTTAGTACAGCAATGGTGTAAAAAGAAAAGATGGTCAAAATAAGTGAGTTCAAAAATATATAATAAGATTTTATAACTTTTAAAGTATAATAATAGCAAGAAGTCTTTAAAAAATGATTTTTAAGATTATAATTGGGCAAATACGACATATACAACATTAAAGATAGAAGTGACATGAAATAGATTAAAATATGTACAAATTGAACAGTAAATAAAAGTATTGTTAGTTGTACATATGTGACTCTAGGAATTGTGTACATAGCTATATTGATGCAAATTTAATGGAAAGTGGTCTAAAAAAATTCTTGAAGTGGTGTTGGTATTGTCTAAATATGATAAGAATTGCTAATTGTTTTAATTTGAAAATAAAAATCTTCAATATTTGTACCTTTTAGTTCATCTATAATTATGAATATTTGTTGTTATAGCATTGGCACAATGATAATATCTGATTCTTCTAAATAGTAGCATTTTAATTTAGATGTATTAGCAATAAAGGTATGTAGATTATAATGCTCTTGGTTGATGAAGAATAATATATTATTAAAAAGCATTAATTGGACACAATAGGAATTATGCTAGATTGGATTAGATTTGCCTTTGAAAATTTAAAGTTCTTAAGAATACTATAAGATTAATCACCTTTAATAAAGACGTTCTATGATTTTATTAAATTGATAATATCTATCTATTTTTTATTGGCTATTTTTAGTACTTATTGCATCATGTCATATAATTTATTGAGATGGTGAATATCATCTAGTCTAGTAGCCAAAATCTTGTAGAAAGTGTAATCTTAGTAAATAAATAATTAGAATATTAAAGCAATATATTCAATAGAGAGTAGGGATTGCATACTATAAATCAGCTCATGAGCTCTTAACCTAAATACTAAATGGTCTAGCCTATTATAGAGTCATTGCCCTATGTTGTAGATCTCTAAGTTTACAGCAACCAGCAGGGAAGAGGAGGAAAGGAAAGCCCTTGGCACTATTCCAATTCTTTCACAACAACTAAGAGGAAAAAACTTAACAAGTCGTCTGCTGCCTCAGTCAGTAGTCCCAATTGAGATAAACAACACGAAGAGATGCAATAGTAGGTAATGTCGCAGAACAATACTGCTTGCTGGGATTGTGTATACACCAACAGAACAATTAGAGATCAGCAACTGGATGATAGTTGCAGAAAGGAATCATCAAAAGGATCCTTGATACACAACTCCAATCAATCTGAGAAATCAGCAGCCAGGAAGTCTTGACACCAAAGCACCGTAGAATTGCACGAGTTGAAGAAATTAATTGATTGACTTGCAACTAACAATCTGTTGGTGGCTTATTCCATTATCAACCCGAATTACCAGTACTGCGTTAGAAAGCACTATGCTTTTTCTTTTGCAAAAACAAAAGACATTGACTTAGCCGAGAGCTGGTTCAACAGTGCTGTTCCTCACGAAGCTTAACCACATGCTTAAAACAAAATTAGTTGCCGAGCTAATTTTTGTGGCAGCTAAGTATATTCAGAACAACAACAATGAAGTCCAACTGATCTTAGTTTCCGTGTAACCTTTGCCGAAGCAGGCAATCAAGCAGGACAATACAACATTGAGCACCGATCTTTCAAATTAAAAGAGGCACTACGTCTCTGCCTCCACCACGGCCCTGGAGTCGACGCCGACGAGATTCTTCCTGATCTCGTCGGCGTCGACAATTTAAAGAAGAATCGGGTATTAGGCAAATCACCTCAATTCCAACGTGAAGGAAAAAAACAGGGCCTGAATCCACGTCGAAGCAGTCAACACTTTGAAGACGACTAGAGTCATCGACGCCAACTGCGACGCCTTTCAAAAAGATCGAGGACACTGACGTAGCCATCGAACGTATCTTTGCACAAACATTGGAGCCAACAACAAAAACGTTGTTGACAGAGGCTACAACCACATCTAGACCACCAATCGCAGTCAATAACGTCAAACCAAGTCGCAACACAAATCATTAGTGCCAACGGCACCTCTGCACCCACTTAGAATCAAAACAAAAGGATTTGGAGATTATAATTAATCTTAATATTATTTATTAATATTAATATTAATATTAATAATTACAATTTTAAGAGATTAATATTAATATTAATATTAAGATTTCTAAAAAATCAACATGATGTATATGATATAAATTATTTTATAAAAATTAAAACTAAAAATATTTAGTGTATATATATATATATATATATATATATATATAATCTTGATATTATATTTTAGAATTTTATGTCAATTTTTTTATTATATGTTTTTAATATATAAATTATATAATTAAATAATATTATCATTATATTTCATATAATTAATATTAAGATTTCTTAATTTTTTAATAAATATATACAAAATCTTGTAATTAAATACTAATGTATATTTATATTTGAGTGTACTTGTATCAAATAGCATATTATGCTTTTATAGGTATATAACAAGATTAGCTGAATACAAAATTTAAATCTAAAAATGCCTATTGCAGCACAATGTTTTTTAGAATATTATACATTATATAGACTAAGATAAATTTATTTTTGATATATGTTTACATTATATATAGAAATGTAATGTTTAGACATAATGCACATTATACCAAATGTATGTATAAGAATGTATGACAATGTTTGAATAGTTAATAACTTATAGACATAATGCACATTATTTATTAATGTTTATATTATATAGTTAGAAAGCATTTACTTCCAGAGTGGGCTCTAAAGAGGTGGTTATTATAAATTAATATTCATTCAATCAGAGAATTTGTAGAAATTTAAAAATAAAATTATATATCCACATACTTAATTTGGATGCCCAAGAAAAGTAATGTGAAAATATAAGATTTAATGAGTCAAAACAAAGTTAATAGAGTTGGACATTAAATGAAAGGCGCATACCTTGGGAGTAAATTAAATAGATCCAAGTAATTGCTTTAGCCTCTACACATGATATTACCTAGAATAAATTCAATCCTATTTACTCAAGAAAGAGTTTTGGCTAGCTTGTTGCCTACTTATTGCTCTAGGGCAATATGCAGTAAATGGGTAGTTCAAAATCTAATGTGGGTATTAATATATTATGTAATATTTATTTACAATATTAATACCAATTTTGAGTTTTTTTGACTAATCCATACTATTACATAATATAGTATGAAAAATTATAAAAATTATAAAAATAAATCCTACAATTACTCAATGTTATAAAAACTTGAATCCTTTTAAAAAAATTAACTTAAAATTAATTGCATGTATTCGATGCATTCCATTTTAAATAACTGAATATCGGTCAAAAATTTCCCCCTACATATCCACTTCCAAAAGTCCTCGACAGATGGCCCCTTTTATTGAACCGGTAATAATAAGAGGTCTATTATTTTCAACCATCCACGCCGTGGCCAACGCGGAACCGATCGCTGACGCCGATGGACGCGGACACACGCCAGCCGCAGCATTTGCGGCAGCGGCAGGCGTCCAGGCTCTTTCGCGTAGAGGTTGAAGCCTGGGAAGTAGGCGGGGATTGCCTCCATAGCCATCGCCAGAGCCCCGTTGCTCTTCCTGGTGCTCTTCTTCCACAATCTTGGAGCCCATGTGCCTCATCGCAATCAATCGGCACAACTGCAACTCTCCGACGTCGGACGAGGCTTCGTTCCGATCGTTTCCAGCTCTGTTTTGATCCCAATCGGTCTCAGAAATCGTTCCGTGGGGTTTCGAGGCTGAGAGACGATGTTTACCATCGTGATGGTGATGCATTTGTCGTGAGGAGGACTTCTAAGAGGATGTCCTTAGAAATATTTGGATCTTGTACAGTGTAGATCGGGAGTAAGGCTGCACGTTTGAGTCGGCAGGGCGTTGTGGTGGAGGGGTGGTGACGGTGGACCGAGATGATGGACGTGGACACGGCTCGGGAGCTCGACATTTGTAGTTTTCAGCAGGCTTGATTGAGCACTGCTAGGGAGGAGCAGCATTCTAGAAAGAAATTCAGATCTTGAGTCGGAATTGGTGATTTCAAGGGAGCGATTGGTTTTTTGATTTCACAATGGGGACTAGATTGCGGTGCGTTCGGTTTGACTACCTGCTTGGATCGTCGTGAGGAAATGCTCTTGGAATGAATCCCATATGTAGTATTTTTTTTTTTTTCTAGATTTTTCGTGGCAAACGTTGATTCTGTCAGCTTCACAATCCGGATCCATTCATCTTTCTTGCGGGCCTTCCGGCAGCAAGGGAGCGTCTATTCGCTGTTCACTTGAGAGGCAATTCAGCTCTTGTTGCGTTTCCATCTCATACCTCATTAATGCCATTTTGTTGCCCTAGGAATTTTGATCCGCATAATTGTTGCATTTGGAGATTCAGCTACATAATTAACAGCATCTTCTCAACGAATTACGAGCTTCATTGCTCTATGACTTTAATTGAGTGACAGGAGTTTTGGGGATCAATTAGTATCATTGGAGAGTCATCGTGCTCTATATCTTGGAGAATTTTGGTGGAAGTCCTTTATTACCGACTTTCAGCAGTAGTACTTCCTTTTACGATATGCCCATAAATACTTTGCTCCAGTGAAAAAATCATAAATATGAATGTGGTGGAGCGCTTCACCATCCGATCGTTAGAAGTTACTGTTCATTATGAACAGCTTTTCTTCTTTGCAACTGTGTCGATTTCAGAACGAACGATGCCGGATATAGCAGATAATTTTTCTGAAATGGTTGTACATTGCTGCGAATCCGCAGCTAGCTTCGGTATCACATGATGTTCTGTTTAACATGACATATCAATTATCTGACTGCTTGTTCGAAATGCGACAGAAAGGGCAACAGGTTTCAGTTTCTTAGGCGGTCTTTTCGTAATCATTGTAGACGTTGGTTTGTGTTGCTGTAGGGACATGATACGGTCAATTCGGGCTTGTAAAACCGCAGCTGAGGAGAGAGGCGTTGTGGCAAAAGAGTGTGCAATACTTCGAAATGCCTTCAAAGAGAGTGACCCGGATTATCGACATCGCAATGTTGCCAAGCTCATGTTCATCCATATGTTGGGCTATCCTACTCACTTTGGTCAGATGGAATGCATCAAATCAATTGCTGCACCCAGCTTTCCTGAGAAAAGAATTGGATACTTGGGTCTCATGTTGCTGCTTGATGAGCGACAGGAGGTGCTGATGTTGGTGACCAATTCTATGAAAAAGTACGCTGCTGTTATTCTGAATCATAGTAGTTGTGTCCTGAGGTCTATGTTTCAGCTTTTCTTATCCATGAAGAATCTGACGATGGATGCCCACAATAGCAAGAGCCTGAGCTGCTCCTTTAAAGTACAAAGAAGCGTTACATGTCAACTTGGTGTATTTTCAGCTGGATTAGTGTACGAATGTATATTGACAGGCAAACGCATGATTGTTGTTTTGCTGTAGTGACTTGGGCCACACCAATCAATTTATTGTTGGATTGGCGCTTTGTGCACTCGGCAACATTTGCACTGCTGAAATGGCTAGGGATCTTGCTCCCGAAGTGGAAAAACTTCTACACAGTACGAACTCCTACGTTCGTAAGAAGGTTAGGCAACCTGAATTGTGCTCAACTAGCAGAACGAGATAATATGCATAATTTGAATGTGACAAATGATTGCACTGTCTTTCCATGCATCAAAGCTTTCTGCAGACAACAGTCACCTACACCTTCGTGCTAGGATAAGTGCAGGAGACTTTTCTTTTTCTCGAATGTGTGGAATCAGGGAGATCAAATGTCCTTACTTGCGTAGTTGTGTTTTTGTGGTACTGTAGGCAGCATTGTGTTCGGTGAGGATCGTTCGGAAGGTGCCGGACCTTGTTGAGAATTTGATGGTTCCAGCTACAGGACTTCTTACAGACAAACATCATGGTGTTTTGGTAGCAGGAGTGAAGCTTTGCACTGAGCTTTGTCAAACCAGCGAGGTGGCCATTGAGCATTTTAGGAAGGTCTGTGTAGTCGTATCATATGTATGCATACTTGAATACTCATTGGCGAGAACGCACCATTTCTGGAGGAATGTTCCGTTTAATGTGCTCAGGATCTAGTTTATTAATTTTTTCGATGATGATGGCTTGAAATGATAGCATTGTTAATATCTCTTATTCTTTTTCTATTTGTGCAGCATGTAAATACAATGGTCCGGGTGTTGAAAAATCTGGTGATTAGTGGCTATGCTCCCGAGTATGATGTCAGTGGGATTACGGACCCCTTTCTACAAATCAGGCTCCTTAGACTGTTGCGTCTGCTAGGGAATGGTGATGCTGATATCAGCGATACCATGAGTGATGTTCTTGCCCAGGTAAGTAATTGACACGACTCCGCAATTTCTACATGCTTCATTATCCTACTGCGAGTCGTTGAAAGGTATTGAACGGTTTGGAAATTTGTTTCATAGGTTGCAACAAATATAGAAGGCAACAAAAATGCAGGCAACGCAATTTTGTACGAGTGTGTACAAACAATCATGGCCATAGAGGCTATTGCTGGCCTTCGCGTACTGGCTATTAACATTTTGGGTCGCTTCTTGGCGAATCGTGATAATAATATAAGGTACACTCTGTCCTCAAATCACATCGGCTTCTCTAAGCGTCCCGTTCTTTTGCTTTAATGCATCGTGGCCTGGGCATATGCACTTGAAAGATCCCTGATTAAAAAACACTTTTCTTCCTTTTCCTAGTCTTAAAAGTTATGACTTTTCTCAGAATTTTAAATCTTCCAGGTGTGAGATCTTGAATAGACTTATTAAGGGCAGAAGCCATGATCTTGTGACTGTGCATTCATATAGCGGATTTCTTTTATATGTTGTTTCTCTTCTCTAATATTTCCTACAAGATTGCATCTCTGTATTCTGCTGAGTCCTGTAACTTGATTATGAAATTAATTGAATGGCTTATGTAAATACCTGTTTCAGATATGTTGCTCTGAACACACTTGTCAAAGTTGTATCAATCGACACTCAAGCGGTCCAGCGGCATCGTACCACGGTTGTTGAATGTGTTAAGGCATGAACTCTTCCCTTCTTCATAGTACGATGTGGTTTAATTGACAAACATCAACCCCTAAGTTCTGCATTAACCGCAAAATGGTCAATGACTCGATGAGGAGCTTTCGGGGCTGCAGTAGACTGTCAGTTACAACTTTGAATGACTTTGGGGTTCATCCTACAAAAGCTTTTGTTTGTGAAATGAGGAAATTAGCGGCTTAAGGCACTTGATATGATATTTTCGTATCATCATGACGATCAGGAGTTGTTTCTGAATAAATATGTGCCAAGTTTTCATATTTCAGTGATCTCCGTTCAGGTGAATGCGTTCTGTTATTTTTTGTTTTGTTGTTAATGATTCTACGTGGGCACATAGTTGACATTACACAAAAGCTTTCTATTTCCATCCATGTAACATAAAGTTGGGAAGTGATCCAATACATGCTCGACAGGATTCAGATATTTCCATTCGGAGACGAGCTCTGGAGCTTGTCTGTGCGCTGGTCAATGAAACCAATGTCAAGGTTTTGACGAAAGAGTTGGTTGACTATCTCAAAGTTACTGATCCTGACTTTAAGGGAGATCTCACTGCAAGGATAGCTGGACTAGTCCAAAAGTACGTCATCTGTTACGCTCATTAATCCTCTATCGTCATGCAATGATTTTTTCTGCCTTTGACGTTGCAATAAACAAGCTTGTGTTATGATTTGCGTTGTATTATGTCCTTAAGATTGAAATCATCGCGTTTATTTTCTACGGAATAAACAAACCTTTCGCATCTTGCAGATTTGCACCAAACAAACAGTGGTACATCGACCAGATTATTCTACTTATGGTTGAGGTATACTTTGGGAGTTTTTATTTGCTGCACACACGCTTACAATCTTCCACATTGTGTTGGGCAGAATGACGAAGAATTTTTTCTTGAAATGTTTTGAATTTTAGGTGTCCCTTGTAGTATCCTGCTAGTTACCTTACACTAATGGGAATTCGTTTATTTTTATTTTTATATATTTACATATTTATTTAGGTTTGTACCTGGGTGCTTAATATGCCAGTAATGAGACTTGATGTGTTGGACAGGCTGGGAAGTATGTTACCAGTGATGTGACAAGATCTTTGGTGGTTGTTATAAGTAATGCAAATGCTCTTCAGGGCTATACAGTCAGAACCCTTTATCGAGTATTTCAAGCATGGGACGGGCAGGTATTGTACTCTTTCACGGCTTGCATAATGTGGCAATTTTAGGAGGACAATATTATCAGGGGAGATCTATAGAAAATGTAAGCTGTTCTGAGGCTTCACATTGCGGATATGGAAGGTTGCAGGGACTAAACTGTGAATCTGAGCATGCTTATAGTTGTTAACAGTAGGATTAATTGACGATTTAGAATTGGTTTTTGGTAGAAATAAAAGTGACTTTTCTGCAGTCATCTACTAGCTTCACATTGTTATGAAGCTGCAAGCTTGGTGTATATATAATGGAAGTGCCAATGCAGTGATCTCTTCTTATGCAGAAGTGGTAACTGAATTCCTTGTTGTATGAGTGCAGGAAAGTTTTGCACAAGTCGCTCTTTGGTGCATCGGTGAGTATGGGGATTTGCTAGTCAGCAGTGAAAATAAGTTGGAAGGCGAAGAACCTCTTACTGTAAGTTATTTGCTGAATTCCTTCTTTAGTAGTTTATGCAGTGTACGTGCATATTTGTCAATCTAATTGGGCCGGAACTTATGCTCACGGTCCTGTGTTCTCTGCGTTTTTTGTTATCCAAGTGACAAACAGGACATGTGCCAATACTCGCTAATGTATCCTTGTCATATTCAATGAGTAATGTTTTGAAAAGGTTTATGATTTGCTTCGCTACAGATTTTGAATGCCCTCGAAATGAAATTTTTGCAGTTGGTTCTTAGGTAAAACTAAGTAGTGTTTTCATGGTTCAACAGGTCACAGAATCAGACATTGTAGAAATTGTTGAAAATGCTTTGAAAGACTCCAGGGCTTCATCAGCCACAGTAGCATTCGCTCTCACGGCGCTCCTGAAACTCTCAATTCGTTTACCCAACTCTGCAGAGTATGTTACACACAAGTTCATGCCAGGGTCACACTGTTATGATCCCACAGAGCTCGAATTTTGTAGATTCATAATGTCTGTTTCCTTGTGATGGATTTTTATGTCATAAAATGATTATCACGCATTTACCCTAGATTTTATTTCCCATTACTGCCACGACAATCGACTTACCAGCTTTGCTTAATTCATTATTGTCAATATTTTTGTGGTTGTCTTCTTACAGTCGCATTAAGGCCTTGATCTTGGAGCATAAAGGAAGTTTGGTGCTGGAGTTGCAGCAACGGGCTATTGAGTTTGGGTCAATCCTTACGAAGCACAATGATCTCAAGTTAGTTTTCTTGACTATTTTCTGTCTAATTACTTATTTATTATTTAAACTTTTGGAGTCTGGAAAGTCAACTATTTTTCATATATGACAGCAGATACTTCAATTAATGAAGTTGTTTTTATTGCAGAACTGTTTAGTTTGTTTTCTGTTTTCTAGACTTTATTTGATGGCATGTAGTTTCCATCGCTTCCAACTCTGATATCTGCCATTGAGACATACTTAGGAAATCGCATTGCTGTTTTAGTTGTGCCGAGTCGATGTGCCTATACCCTCAATAAATCCTGATAACTGGTACTTGCTCTTTGATATCATTCTCAGGGGAGCACTTGTGGAGAGAATGCCTGTTTTGGATGAAGCCAGATATTACGCCAACAACGCAATGGGCATTGATGGGCAACAAACTACTGATATTGAAGCATTAGAACCTCATGCTAATGGACATGTGAGACAACCAAATGCAATCGAAAAACCTACTGCTGCTGCTGCTGCTGCTGCTGCTAACCTTATCGATTTACTCAGCTTTACCGATGAGCCAACTACTCTATCAAATTCTTCAGGAAATGCCTTATTGGATCTCCTTGGTGGTGGGCCCATGGGTGATGCTAACTCAGCTTCTTCCCCAGGTACACTTCATTACGTAGTTTTAGTTTCACTTATGTGTAAAAGCGCATATGTAGTAGAATCGAGCAACTTGAGAAGGTTCGAGCTGTTACTGTTTGGATTTTAGAAGCCCTTCCGAGTTCACGCCTGAGCTTCTAATTTTTCGCCGAAAATTTCTCTGCAGGAGGGGGAGACATGTTTTTGGACCTTCTCTCATCAGATGGGCCAGCTCCACTTGCAACTACTGCTGCGGTTCCATTGGAGGGTCTACTGGATGTTGAACCCATTGCAAATACTTCATTGGGCAATTCCTCTCTTAATGGAGGTACTCCCAAAGGTCCACCTGCAATTGTGGATCCCATTGCAAATATTTCATTTGGCAACCTCTCTCTTAATGGAGGGACTGCCAAAGGTCCGCCTGCAGTTGTGGATCCCTTTGCAGATCTTACATCTACAGCAATGCCCGCACCTGCTTCGGCTCCAGGTGAGTCAACTTGCTCCCTAAATTATGGTTGTGCAAATTGTGTCTGAGATGTACCTTACGTGATTCGTTTCAATCATTTCTGAAATACTGATGTAATGGCTTGGAAACTTTTTTCTTACGTTATGACGTCTATCTGATATATTTTATTTTGTTTTCTATGTTTTTTTGGCAGGGTTACCATCTATTATTGCCATGCAAACAAATGGGCTAAAAATTTCATTTGACTTCACGAAAGCTGTAGATGCACCTAAAGCTACTGTCATCAAGGCTTCTTACAGTAATCTGTCATCAAACATTTATACTGATTTTGTCCTTCAAGCAGCAGTTCCAAAGGTCTTTGTCTGACATTACTATATATTAGTCTAATGTGATCTATCTCATTGTGCTAATTTTTTGCATGCTAACTTGTTTGCTTATTGTGAACTCTCTAGATCTGGTCAAATGAGGTCCCCTTGTCTTAGCCAGTTGTGTGTAAATAAATTTAAAATTTTAAGTTTTACATTAAGTCTCGTTCTATTTCTTTTGAAATCCTTATGTGACACCCTCTGTGCAGTTTATGCAACTGCAGTTAGAGCCTGCTACGAGCGGAATTCTTTCTGCTAACTCGAGCAACTTAGTCACGCAAGTGATCAAGCTTACAAATAACATGCATGGACAGGTAACAGTCATTCTTGTTGCTCATGAAAACCGCTCCTTTACGTGTATGTTTCTGGAATCTTGACATCAGTTGCTCCTCAGTCCGAAGCTTTTTATTAATTTCAGCATTCTTATATTTTTTTCTTTCGCAGAAAGCTTTGGTGATGAAGTTGAGAGTGAGCTACAAGGTTAATGGAAATAATGTATTAGAACAAGGGCAAGTCAATAACTTTCCTGCGGGATTGTAGTAAACCTTTAGTTCATTAACACGAGGTCGTGCCAGGCTACATAAATCAGCTGGCGATTGATCGTCTTTCAGCGGCTGTTTTGAGTCATCGAAGTTAGGATTGAGTACTCTACAATTTATTATTTTCCCAGAAAGGAGTAGTTACATGCTGAGTGTAGATAGGTTTTAGCTAGAAACTAATGAACGAGCAAGTGAACGAGCATGTGCTTGATATTATCACGATAAGGTGGATGTACACTCGCTTGTATTGTTTACAAGTGCTAGAGAGTTTTCTAGGGTGTTACCCGTTAGCAATTTTGATCAATCATACGGAAGACACTCTCTTCCTTTACATGACAGTGGAATACTAGCTCCATACTAGTGATACGTTCCTGTTCAGATCTAATGGGAATAAATCAGTTTTAATGATAGTAAGATGTTAAGGCATAAATTTCATGTGTAATTTGTGGGGCCCTTCTCTCCACACAAGATTTTGCCTCCAGTGCTGTCCTGCAGAATCTACCATCGCCTGCTTTATTGAGATGCTGAGTTTCGCTGTTCTTTAAGCTCAGCAAATAACCAAATTGTCATTGTTTTCCATCTTCGATTGTATCAGTACGTTTGGACGAACAAGTGAATTACCAATTGAGGTTTCAGCTTACAAATCTGGAAAATGTTCAAGAATGCCCGACTTCTTGAGTATTAGGTACAATTTGTTTCAATTGTTACAATAGATTGAAATTTTTAATTATTTTCCAATAGAATTAAGGATTCTGAAATATGGATTGAAACACTTATTCCCTAAAATACTGCTTGAATGTATCGAAAAACATGAATTTTAAACATATCATTTGATTGTAACTACTAAGGCTAGCAAATAAACATTAACATGTTTATTTATTTCAAATGTCTAAATTTTATTACTAAAATCGTTTGGAACAATAATAGCAATAATAATAATAACATTTTCAGTATCTTGTTTTGTATCAAAACATCACTTTGTATCACTTTGTTTCGTCATCGCTATTATTTATCTCCCATAATAGTATCACCACTTTACTTGTAAGTCCAAAGTCATCTGTAATGCGGTGGTGGTAATAAGATATGAACACCCATTTGCTAGCCTTAGTAGTTACTAATTAAGACTTCAAAAACTCAGTTGTGACTACAACTATTCTAATTGCTTATAAATATGCTTCAACAAGCGCAATCTGACGAGTGTATGCGTACTTTTTAAAGTAAAAGATCGCGATGTTGCACACGATGCTGGTATCGCCGACAGTTCGTAGACTGGATGTCGGTAGAAGGTCGACGGCAAGATCTTCGCAGATCTCTGGATCTAGAAAAGGGCTTTGGGTTGCAAACGCATCATCAGGAGTGACAGAGGAATAGTGCCGGGGTTTGCATCTTCTGCAATTCGCGGATGTGGTGGAGCGCAGACAGCGAGATCGACCACCCAGGAGGCAGCGGCGATGGCTGGTCACTTGGCGGTGTTCCCGTCTATTGGTTTTGAACAGGAACGTGAGTCGATGAAGGGATTTATGGGAGGTGCAGATCCCAAGAGGTGGCACCTTCTGGTGGGTGCTTTCCACCTGGCCTGGTCCGCTATTTCTTTGACCGGCGTTGTTTGACCGATTGTGCTCTTGTCGACGACGCGATGTTTCCTGATCAGCCTTTGAAGTGATCCACGGAGTCCCCCTTGGAGTTTTGTGCTGCGACGCTGGTCTGCAGTGCTGTGTGCAAGCGATGCCACCATTGTTGTCGTGGTTTTGCTGATGCTAGTACTACAGGTTGATGAGGCAAAAAGCAATAACCAGATTCCTCTTCTAGGATGATATGCGCTTTGCTTAAACCGGCGATCCAAGCAGAGAGCGGGAGAAGATTACCTGGTGGAAACCTTGTGACAGAGAATCTTTATGAGGATCTGGGACAAAATCGACGTATCTTTTATGTGAATTTTGAAGGATTGACAGTTGATTGTTGATCCTGATCGAGCAGCAGTTTTTTCGTGAACTGTGACTTTGCGATGGACCACTTTCAGCGGAAAAAAATTCAATCGTCATGAACAGAGCGTTCATGCAAATTTTGAATCAGATGGAGCAACACATGAGACTCGACGTCAAGGTAGAATTGCTATGTTGCATCACTTCACAACACGCGATTCCAGGTGTGTTCTAAATTAATAAATCACTGGGTCCTGTGGAAGTGATTTCAAGTTGCTGCCGAAGTTGCTCTCACGTTCTCCTGGTCGGGACCTTCTTCTGCCTTTTGACCGCACTTATTATGGCGTTTCAAATTAGATCCAATGTATACCTGCGAAGACACTGTCTGGGAGGAAAGCAAAGCTAGGTTTTCAAAAGGATGTCTGATCTTCATCGTGATGCCCTATCTGAAGATCCGATAGAGACAATTGAGAGAGTATTCATCATGCCTGATAACTCAGCTAGGTTTATCGAGCGATTCAGATGTCAGTCGTTTCCATAAAGGTCGTAACCCCTGAGATAACCGAAAGGCTACCGCCGTCTCGTATATATATATGAGCCGAGGAGCAAAGGAGTCCATATCTTGCACTCAAATACTTGGCAATCAATAGTGTCGAGCGATCGAGAGGTTCACTAGTAACACGCTTGAAATGGCGTAGGAATGAGGATGATTCTGCAGGCCATGTCCAGCCGATCCTATCCCCAGCTCAAAGAGTTCTCGATGTAAGAAAGGATATGTGGCTGCAGCTGGGCAGATTACATATCCTCTGAAGGACCTAAAATAAGCATCAAGTCAGTATGGAGTCCTCGAGGAGTTTTTGGAAAAGGTTCTGGAAAGGCAGCAGCCACCGAAGGAACATGATGAACAGATGGATGACCAGGCGAAACCGCAAGGAGAAAGGAACCACCACAGCGATTGGAACTGTCCTGCAGAAGGAAAAGCTGCCGCTAGAAGCCGTGGAGCGAATACTTTCTCAATTGCCTCTACCGGCTCTTGTCCGCACATGTTGCGTCTGCAAGCAATGGCATGCTCTCATTTCGTCCCCAAGGTTCCTGCACGCACGAGCTGAGATTCCATCTGTGGCAAACACACCCTATTTTCCTGTGGTGTTCTCTCGAAGCTACGGACGCAAATGCTGTGCTTTCGACTTCTCCACCCACCAGTGGCAGCGTCTTGCGCCGCTGAATTTTGTACCTTACAGAGTGACCTATGTGGCGGGCGCCGGGGGCCTCTTCTGTCTCCGAAACTGTTTTGAGCTACTGGTGGTGTGCAACCCCATCACCCGGCAGTGGAAGAATCTGCCAAGGTCGACGGGGCAACTCTGTGCCAGCCATTCCCTAATCCACATGGTCTTGGACGTTCCGTCGACGTCGTACAAGATCATCACGATCTCGGGATCGTGCAAGACCGAGATCTACGACAGAAGCTCCCAGAAGTGGGACATCACCTCCAACAATTTGCCGCCAGGGGTGACGAGCATCCGGGGCCGAACAGCAGCCTTCTGCAACGGGTTTTTATACTGCATTGTGGACGAAGGGATGGGATCCAAGCTGAGCGGCATCATAGCCTACGACCTCCAACTCGCGATGTGGAGCTCCATGCTGATAGTGTTGCCTTCAGGCTTCGGCGAGGCCAGGTCTTCGAACTCCCTGCAGCCAGGCAGCCTAGCGGCTTCGTTGATCGAGTGTCGGGGCCATGTAATGCTAGTTGCGGAGAAGATGCAGCTAGGCGCTACTCTCGTCTCCATTTTTGAACTACAGCTCACGAACATCACATGGATTGAGGTGGCGACACTCCCTCACGACCCTGCGTCGCCATTTGAGAGTTTCAAGCATGGCTTGCGGTGTGACGGCGTGGTGGTCCACGGGAACGTGATATGCTTGACGAGCCAGAGCGGCGACATGGCGGCGTTGGATGTGTCCACCCTAACGTGGACACGGCTACCCGATTGCCCTCTCGTGCTCGGGAAGAACGCCGACATCGACATCGCGGTCTTCCCCTTCCTCCCTTCCCTCGATGCCCCCGTGTAGCCACTCACTCCGCACTTCCTTAGTAATTCCATGGCACTCCTGCGGTGCTTGCTTGCTTGCTTTGCTACCCCTCTCTCACACTTCGGTGACCGAACCCATTTTTGTCGGGACAAGTTTAACATAAATTTGTCTGTATCAATATCGTTTGCAAAACGTTTTGCAAACTTGAAAATGAAGTGGATGTAAAATTGTGGTTGTATGTGTGACAGTGTGATGTGCAGATGCTTTTAGATGTTGCGTGATTTGTTCATGACATGGTGTTCATGTTGAAGGCTAGATTATTCATATATTGAATTACATGATCAATATAGTACATAGTATCGTACTTTGTATAGGTGACTCATACAAGATATGTATTGCATGAGTTGCTGGTCACTAGTAGAATGAGTCATTGCATTTTTAGAATATTTACTGATAATATCATTGATAGTATTAATAAATTTGCTTAAGGTTGCATTAGGACTGTCATTAGATACTAAAAACTTGTTTCTAAAAAAAAAAGAAAAAGAAAAAAAAAAAAGGGTATTTTATGTAAAGAATGTGAGTGTTATTTTATATTGTACAAATAAATGTGCACAATACTAAAATATCACTCACATTTATATTGTGACATCTGTTGAGTAAGTAAGGTTTTGTAAAAACACTTGTAACTTGTACGGTCATGAAAAGGTAAAGCCTGAGAGAAAAAAACAAAAATCGCCTTATAAGTGTAAAATCATTATCTATATATATATATATATACATACTTTAATTGAAGTTTTATTGTGAAAAATTATGAATCACCATGCTACAAACAATCCGAAAATAGAAATGCAGTCAAACTGTTCTAAAAATGAAAACAAAAATTTAGAAAGGCAAATGTCTAGATGTAATTAAATACACCTTTGAATACTTGCATGTTATTTTTGTTTTCTAAAAACTATCATAAAGAAAGAGGTTTATTTATTAGTGAATCCAAATAAAAATATATCACAATATTCATAAAATGTCAAAGACTTGATAGAATTTTTTCAGAATTAAAACCTCTTTTAGAAGTAGCATGAGGCAAGAAGAATTTTGTTTGTATATTTTACAAAATAAGCTACAAGTAATTCTACTAACGTTTCTACCATTATTTCTTAACTTAATCTTTTATATGGAAATGTTGTTTTCTGTTCCGAAAATCTAAACTATTTTGCTGACTAATACAAAATGTTGATGGTTTTAGTAAAATAGTTCCAAAATTCTTGTACTCAAATTCTTGGTTGGCTTTGCTTCATACACTTAACGTTTAAATAGAGCTCAAACTCTAATCATGTGTGAAGAGGTTTATGTGTTCAGTTATCTTTCGACGCTAGCCGTTTCTGACCAGCATAATTCATACAACCAATGTACATTCCTAAACTATAGCTTGTTGTAAAATTAAAGCACAACAGGAGAAATATAATGACAAACAAGACGCCTCCTATTAATATACAACAACAACAACAACACAGGGAGAGAGACAGAGTGAGAGAGAGAGAGATAAAGAGCAGGAGAATCAATTGAAACTGCCTAGAAAACATTGGTCTCCAACCGTAACGAAGTAAACCAGATATCGCAGTCTTCTACTGCCGGAGCAATCATCAGACATGAGCATTTCCAAAGTAAAATAGTAAAAATAATAAATAAATAAATAAAAACAAGCATGAATGAGCGGTGAAGCTTTACTCGCAGACCTGAAATTAGTAACGAATACATGCCAACGGTAGTGAAAGGAGCAGCGGAAGAAGCTCCAAATACTCTGAGGAGAGGAGACGAAACTGGAGATGTTCGATGAGATTGAGCAGGAAAGAAGGAATCAAGCCGAGCACCAGAACGGCACCCATCAAGGCTCATCTGACTCCCCATCTCCCCACGTCAACTTCTCCACTATGCACAACACCACACCACGACGGCACCAAACTTACAACTCCACATTTATGCTTCCATGGCGTTCACGGACATGAGGGATGAAGACTTGTTTAGATTAATCGACAGCTCATACAGTAATAGGCAAGACTGGAGGGAGAGGTTAGAACCTACAGATAGTCATAGCACAGACATGGGGCCGAACGGAATGATATCGGACGAAGAAGGTGCATTTTAAGTTCATACTAACAATAGTGCAGTAATCAAACACTTGCTCTAAGGACCAGGCTCCCGGGAGGGAAGCCCGGCCAGAACAGAATAGGCAAGACAACTTGCGCGACCACCGCGACTCATTGCGTTCCCACAAGGGCTCCAGCCCGTTTTACATGCACTCGAGCGCGTTTTTCTTACTTCGTTTAACCCGGATGGGGTATTCCACCAAGGGGGAGGAGGCGCTCGTCCAACGCCGAAGAGCATATCCCCTCACTCACCCTGACAGAAAAAAACGATTCTCCTCCGTCCAGGGCAGAAATCACAGAGGCGGCAATCTGCACCGGCGATCGAAGATGAGCGGTGTAGAAAGGCTCTCATGCCCTGGTGCGGGACACGGGGGGTTCCTATCTATCTATCTACAGATGCAAAAGCATCGAGCCCCCAGAGCTCTCACCAAGTGGGTGCGAAAGATTGACCCCGCGCACTGAAAAGCGCCACGAGGCCCTTCGCCACCGGTTGGGCTGGGGTCCTTCTTATCTAAAGATATTCAAATGGGCGACCGGGAACCGGCCCCTGCCGGTACTCCCAGTCGCCGTTGCCTCCCTCCCTGGTTTCTTCAAATGGATTCCATCCCTTCTCACTTTGCTTCTTCAGTCGGCACATTGGGCAATCGCGGCGACGCTGCCCACGCCGCACCAAGTTTTTTTAGTACGGGATTGTTAGTGACGGTTTTTAGCGTTCATCGGGTATCGAAATTTGGTCCGTATTCGACTTGAGTTGATTCGGAACACTCGCAGTTGTGATTCACAGATAGATAGATAGATAGAATTCTTTGGAAGTTTGTCGAGTGTCCCGGAAAGAGAAGTTTCTGGGAGTTTTGAGACGGTGGTTTAGCATCTGTGTGTACGAATTCGTGTTTGGCTGTAACTGATTTAAGGGCTTCAAGTGCTAAGGTAGAAATTATTAAATTGGAGAAGGATTCTGTTTGGTTTGTCGAGTTTAGGAGCAGGAATGGCAGTTGCCGCAGTACTGCAAGCGGCTTCTTTAGCGACTACGACGACGTGGCTAGACGCAGGTGCGTTTCGCAAGGAAGGTTTGATTGGAGCGCAATGCGTCCACAAGATCGTGAGCGCTCGGGGACCGTGCGCCATTCGAGCTTCTTTGAGCAAAGTATGTAACAGTCATTGAAAACTTGCTGCAATAATTATAAATCAGCCCCTCGAGAAGCATGAGTTAGATGAGAATTCCAGCCGCAATGGCGCTATGTAGTTTTCTCGGCTGAAGGGGACTACAATTTGGATTCAATCGATCTAATTTTAGGGCGTTATCTGCAGTAGAATCCTTAGCTTTTTTGTCCGGAACTTCTGTGGCCATGGATAACTTCTGGCCTCACCCACCGCTTGAACGATTTTACTATACCCTGTCAACTCAGTTTGTTGAGCTAAGATTATTCGTGCATCGTAGTTGGTCCTGATTTCTCTTCTTACTCACCGTTGCTCATTGCTGATGGAGAAATTTCATGGAAGAGCACGAGGTCAGTGATAAAGTGTGCCAATCCGGAGTGAACTAGAGAGTGATCTTGGTAAAGGGGCAGTGGAGACCATAATGTTGATGATGCACAAGTGATAATCTTTGATCAGATTGCCAGAAAAGACTCGGAATAATTTACAGAAATCGATAGTAGGATTGATTCGGATGAAGATACTAACAAGGCTTCATGATCGTGCCGAGGGGCTTACAAGACGTCGTATAAACATCTCATTTTTTGAATGAGGAGAAACCTGGATTTGTGTTCAGGTTCCCTCAGCATTGTGTTCTTCTCACAAAGATTGCATTTATCAATTTACTGTTCAGGATGATGTAGCTGCACCAAACGCTTTCGCGAAAGTACTTCACAACTGTCCAACGTGCGTGGCTGTAGCAGCTGCACTGCTCGTGCCCTTTTCTTCGACAGCTGCTGATGTCGACGTCGATACGGAAAGGGTTTCAGCCATCTCTGAACCTAGTGTTTTGATTTCAGGTCCACCCACCAAGGACGCAAATGCTCTGCTCCGGGATGCCCTCCCTCTTGACAACAAACCTATCAAGGAGGTTCAAAAATTTCTCGAAGATATTACCGAGGAGATGAAGGTACCCGATGAGAAGGTGCTTGAACCAGTTGAACGGGTACAGTTTCAAGTTTTTCATGTTCTCAATCCTCTCACTGATCTCTCTTTTTTTTTTTTTGACATCTTCGTACCCTGCTTGACGCTGTTTTTTCTAACCACCCCTCTTCTTTATTGTGCAGCTTGTGATTCTTTTCATGAAGTGGTAATGTTTCATGTACACTGACGAAGAAACAGCCATAATGGAAGGATTGTGCAGGATGTGCGACAGGCCACATTGGTTCTCAACCAGAGCAAGGAGGAAATCCTTTCTTACATAGCCGAGTCAAAAAGACAGGAGGGTGATCACATTCTCACTACTCTGAACGAGGAGCTCGAAGGTTTTCAAAAGCAGCTGGAAGAGAAGGATTCGTCAATTGTTTTACCGAGGCAGAAGGAGCTTCTCCGTTTGATAGGCGAGTACGTGACGATTTTTCTGAATCCTTATTAATGTGTAGATAGGATCTTCAATGTTTATCTTATATTTAAATTGTTTGGATTCGGCTTGTTTCAGGCATTTTATGGCTGATGTGCAGCGTGTTTTGTCTATATTTTCTTGTGCGTGCGCAGTCTGGAGGAGACCATGATAGCTAAATTTCCGTATGAGATTCCAGAGGAGTATGCTAAAAGGCCACTTCTTATGGGACGAGCTACTCTCGAGATGAAAGTCCTCGTAAAAAATAACCCAAACGTGAAAGATGCAGTTCTTCACATAGTACTAGATGGTTACAACGCCCCAGTCACTGCCGGAAACTTTGTTGATCTTGTTGAGCGCAGATTTTATGATGGCATGGAAATTCAACGATGTGAGTTCCGCAAATCACATCGATTTAGCCGTCAATGATTCGCTTTCGTAGATGATAATTCAGAGCTCTCTTGCTCCAATAAGAATCCTAATACAAGCTGGGTGATGTCAAGGTATGCTTTAGGAGTTTAAAGATATTTTTGTGGACACTTTTTATTGTTTCAGCGGATGGATTTGTGCTCCAAACTGGAGACCCCGATGGACCAGCTGAAGGGTTTGTGGACCCAGCTACAGGCCAAGTCCGGACTGTCCCATTGGAGATCATGGTGGAGGGTCAGAAGCAGCCCATCTATGGTACTACTCTTGAGGTGAATGACTTGTAACTACTTTTTAAAAAGAAAATTTTGATGCATGCTGAAGTGATTGAATTGGTGATTTCAATGGTTGAATGCCACCTAACGTGGTCTTGTCTTAGTTGCAGGAGCTCGGCCTACCTAAGGCGAAAATAAAGTTGCCATTCAATGCATTTGGTACAATGGCAATGGCACGACAGGTAGGAATTCCTCTCATTTAATTCGGACCGAAGTAAATCATGTTGGTTTTTAATTAGGTTACCAAACCACAAGCTAAGCTGTCAGCATCGTGCAGCTGTTTGTGCACCGAAGGTCTTCCGTGACCTTGGTTTGTGCCTTGTTGCAGGAATCTGACAATAATTCAGGATCTAGCCAAGTATTCTGGCTGCTGAAGGAAAGTGAATTGACGCCCAACGGCGATAGTATCCATGATGGCCGCTACGCAGTATTTGGTTATGTGACCGAGAACGAAGGACTACTAGCTAATCTCAAAGCCGGTGACGTTATTGAAAGTATACGTGTGCTCCATGGCTTGGATAATCTGGTGAACCCAAGTTACGTAGTTCGCCTTCTGTAATTTTAAACCCATTTTTGCTGAGGATTTAGAATAATGTATTCGTCGACCTTCGTCTCAAATTCATGTGCATCGCCTCCCGCTCGACGAATAAATGGACACACTGAGTACAACGAAATGAACCGTTTCACTTTATCATAGAATGTGTTCCTATTATCAGCGCCTTGATAAGAAAGATTTCCATGAAGCTTGCAATTGCAAGTTTGGGTCCCCACCTTCTCGCCAGCAACGCCTTGAATATCGTATTGAAGTGTCCTTTCAATCTCATTTACTGCAAAATGATTGATGTGTTCTGTATTCTGTAAAAGAAATTGACGATGTCGTAAACATTTCAAAAAGTAGTTGTTAGCGTATGAACGAAGATCAGTTCATCAACTATAAGAAATATCGTTAAAAAAGCGATGTAATTGTGAAAGAGTTTACCTTAATGACTAATGGTAAACTATATTGAAAACTTAATTTTTTCTATTAATACAGCAAATGGCATGTTATCAAAAACTTCTATATCGACAATTATGAATGAGACTATCTGCTTGACACTTCTCTAGAAATGATGACGTACAAAATTATTTCGCAACCAAGATAAAATGCACATCTAAAGCAATACTCATCTAATCATTAAACTCTAAAATTTTAAAGTTCATTAAATTTTTTTACCAATAACATATTTTTTCATTTAAATTGAATATATATATATATATATTTTATCCTATAAATTAATTATTATAAATCATTAAGATACTCTAAAAAAAATTATACAATTTGGTTACCATACTTTAAAAACAGACTTTAAAGAATAATCTAACAGACTGCGTTCATGTCATTTTATGTTTTTACTCAAAGATACATTACAACCAAAAAAATCAATGTAAAATAAATTTACATCCTGTGAATTTATGTATGCATTTTCAAAGCGTAATTATAAAACATTCTAGAAAAAAAAATTGTTGGTTTTTTACAAAAATGATTGATGATATTTTACAGTCTCAAAAATTATTTAATATTACAGTATAAGATTATAAGATTAGTTAGCAACATTCGCGGGCATCAATACTTAAATCAGCATTAGCAACAATTAGTAGCAATCAGCATCAGCATTATATGCCTATGTCAGCATTAGCGGTAATAACCAGTGCCACAATTCTCACACCAAAATCTCAATTGTTTGATAAATTTGATAATTGATTTGCATATATATATATATATATATATATATCACAAATCTACACAAAATTTAATTTTTTTAAAGAAGACCTTGGAATTAAATTATTGTATATTTCAGAAAAACAAGTAATTATTTCAATTTTTTAAAAGTAACTAAAAAATACATGATAGCTGAAAAACATTATATGAATCGCATCCATCAATCCAAGATTACCTAATAGAAACATTATCCAGACATCACCATTGTACAATATTTATATTGCAAGAGTACCCTCATAATGCTTGAAATTTCTTGAAGTGACATTCCAAAGTTATAAAACCATCAACATGAGGCCTGTTTAATACGCATCACGACCACAAATCTCACATTTTCTAAACTTAAATATACTCTCACTTAAAACACACACTCAAATCCGTATTTTGCAACACTAACACAAAACACAAAAAAAATAAAAAAGCAAAGCTTATGAATCTGAATGAATCTTCACATTTGGAGACATGTAATGTGAATCCCAAGTAACATTCTCCACTTGAAAAAGCACCTCATACATACATACAAACAAAAACAACAATAATAATAATAGTGTCGAAGAAATGCTTGTTTTCTGTCGTTGGTTTCATCATTCTTAATCGTTTCCTATCCACCTGAAAATCATCCCCCCTTTCTTGTACAACAGCATCTCTCTTCCTCTCTTTATAAATATGTATATATATATATATATATATATATGTGTGTATAAAGCTTCGGGGAGGAATACCGACACCGGAGGAGGGGAAAGGTGGCAGTTTTGGATCGCCGCCTTTTGAAATTGGGCATCCGCTTGGCGACGAGGTGACGCACACCGCGAGAGAGTGTGAAGTCTCGCGGCTCGAATTTTAGGGCCAGGGCTGCTCTGAATATTCATGCCGTGTTGACAACCTCACACACTTTCGTGTTGTCATGGTTAAATTTCCCACAACCGGATTATGAGGGTTAGCCATTGCTGACCCATTCAATCGCAGTTGTGGTGACTTGGAGGAGCTGGAAAATCTAGCTTCAATTTGGAGGTAGAAAAACTTCGAATTTAAAAAGAATGTTTTATCTTTTTTTAGTGCTTTCAATGGATCATGTGTGAGCACAAGGTAGACAACCAGGATTCGTAAGCAGTGCTTCACTGCGATTTTTGCCCGGTGTGCTACGACAAGCAAACGTGAAGCAATCAGTGGGGCCCTGCCAGCTAGAAGAGAAGGCGATGGAGGAGGGGATGCCTTATTTTTCACTTGACAGGGCCACAGGGGTCAACGCCGTGGGGAAACTTCACCAGAGACGTCCCCCTCCACGCCATCATCCTCAACACCTTGGTTACTTTGCACCCTCAGTTGGAGTGGTGATGCGAGATAAATCACAGGAAATTTCCTCACCACTAGATTCGCCTTGAAGTGCTTGCCAAGTAGGAGGAAAAGCATTCTCGGAGTCAGATTTTTGTTGCAGTTTTTTCAACCTGCGTAAAAGAGGCTTTGGAGAAGGATCCCGCTGTCGTGGTTTGGCTACGACAGGGAGAAACTACAAACAACCCTTGTCAAATGTTTGAACTTCAAGTATCTGAATCTTCCCAAGCCATGGATTGTATCGGTGAAGTTTGTGCTTGGGCTGATTCTTCGTTGAGTCTCATCACGGAGCCGGAAAGTGTGGTGATTGCTGACGTGCTTTCGACCTTCGTTTGAACTGGGGACGCCAGATCCGCGCCAGTCAGACAAAGTTTGAAGCTACAGTTTGTGCCTCTCCCACGAACAAGATGGACCAACGTTGCCGCCAGTAGGTGTGTTGCTGTAAGTCCGTAGTCGTTTAGATTGGCTGTATTTCTCCTCAATGGTGATCACGAAGGAATGTCACAACTTCCGCAGTCTGTACTGAACCGTTGTGACTAGTAACGAAAAAAAGTTAGAACCGAAAGTTTTATTTTAAGTATGTAGAAGAATTTATTGGCGTTTGACGATGTTAGCGTAATAGTCAATGCTGCTGTATGTATTCAATAGACCGCATCTTAGACTAGATGAAGGAACTGTTCTCGAGGTAGGCGGGCGGGCAGGTAGGCAAGCACGGAAGCAGGCAGGCCCACGGAATCTGGCGGGGGACTTCACTGACTCAATTCCAACGTTCTGAGTTTCAATCGATGCATTGTTTCTGGAGTTGAACATATGAACAGGTGGGGATCTTTACTAGCTCCACTAGTAGCCATTGGCAGTGTCCCCATCTTTCGCCAAGGGAAGATATAAAGCAGCACACCACTCTCAAGAACAAGCATACTAGCTTGTCCCTGTGATAGGACTCGAGACGCCGCTTGTGATGAGCTACGTCTGTTTAATTCTTTCCTTCGTAGCTGATTATTGAAGAAGGATATCGCATCGAGGGGTTAAAAAAAGTTGGAGAAGGTGAGTTGCTGTGATATATCGCAGCTGCAAGAGCTTCATTTGATCACAGATTTGTGCTGATTACGATCCGGGGGGGGGGGGGGGGGTTCAATTAGTATGGTTGGCTAAATTGGTCATCCAAAACGGCATGAAAGTGCTGAAAGCCTGTAGAGGGTTGTATTGTACGCTGCTACATCCAGTTTGATGTGAAGGAATTCTCATTCACTCTTCAGGAAGTCCAACTATTGGGAGTTTGTTCAAGCTTGATGTAGGGGTTGAGAAAAGAACAGCGCTTGTCATTGAATCTCTTGTCAAGACGATCGATTCATTAGACAACGAAATTTCTTGGTTTGTTGCCTAAACAAAGAAAGCTGGACGCAGGTTTTTTATTGGGTTCCTCCGTGTCACTGTAGCTGAACAAAAGCATACTGTGAATAATGGCAGACGAGCTGCTTGAAGCGTTGGACTACCTTCCGGAGTGGACAAACCTCAGTGAGCTTCTCGCTGCGATCGAGGACCAGGTGGGAAGACAAGTCCGGGAGCAGATTGAAGCCACTTTGGAGGATCGGGATACGAACATGTTGATCAACGTCAGAGAGCTCCTGTTCGACATTCAGGACGAGCTGGGGTGCTCCTACTTCGACACCATGTTTCACCTTGATTCTAGTGCCCAGGAAAGCGAAACGACCCAGGAATGAGATTAAGCGTAGTGGCCTAACTTAGTTCACCCCTACAACACAGCAGCAAGAGGAAGTGAGAAATTCTTTATAGCTATTGACTTGAGAGAGCAATTAGAAGTTGCAATAGAGTTGCTTAGAATTCGCTGTTTTGAGAGGCACAACTTCCCTGTTGCAAGAGAGTCTGCGTTAAGGTCATGCTCGATAGCAATAGTTAAATGTGGTGGACGTCGACCGTGCACCGTAGTGGCTCCATGGAGATTAATGAGGTAGCACTTCTGCAGTTCAGCATGAATTTCTGATAGACTCTCACAAGTAACTGCAGAGAATCAATTCATTTTGTTCTCTTACGTTTTCTTTAACAACATAACCTTGTGCTGTCTTCACTTATTGCTGTACAGATTAAGCCACAAAAGAAAATGGCGTATTCTCTCACGAATTCCCATTGCTGTTGCTAGAAAATTCCTGTATGTCAAACACAGCCATCACAAGCATGAAATGAGGAGCTGTTTTTTCGTCACGGAGAAAAGTCGGCTTTTGCTGCGACCTCTCACTAGTATTAGTGATATTAGTCGCACAGGATCCCACACTTGACTTGTTCTTCTCAACCTGTTCGAGACTTAGAGTATATAAAAAAATACTCAGAAAATCCTATCCTTTTGTCAATCACAAAATGATTGTGGATTTACAGTAGCCCTATCGCTGCAAGTCACGGTGTTTTCTTCCCTCAGAACTCTAGACTAGCACAATGAGTTTACTTTTGGGACTCTAGTGACTAAAATATCTCTGACGAATTCTCCAATTTTCACGCTGTACTGAAGGCACTTGAACTACTTTTTTGGCTCTATTATTGTACTGTAAATTAGTAGATTTTTCGGGCTTGTAAGCATCGTACAGGATTGCTTTCCATTGGGTTTCCTTGTGGTGTTTAATTATTTAATCAAGCATCTGTGACCAATTTCACGGATTCAAAAAGCTTGCCGTCGTTTTACC